TATATATATATATTACAATATGGATATATAGTATCAAAGATGGAGGCAAGTGATAAAATGTTATTTAATAGTCCACACTATATGGGGCGGATGTAGTAGAGCATTAGTGGGAGTCATTCTGGAACCGGAAGGTCACCAGTTCGATCCTCCGTCCAGCCGTTTCAGTTGTTGTGTCCTTGGGCAAGACACTTCACCCACCTCGCCTACTGATGGTGGTCGCATGGCAGCCCCGCCTCTGTCAGTGTGGCCCATGGCAGCTGTAGATGTAGCTTACCGCCATCAATGTGTGAATGGGTGAATGCCTGAAGTGTAAAGCACTTTGGGGTCCAAGTGGACTTGATAAGGTGCTATACTGTATAAGTTCAAGCAATTTACCATTTAGTCATCCCTCATTATTAATAAAAAGGCAAACATGGTGTAACATAGTCGTTTTTCTGCACAGTGTCTGCTTGTAGTTTATTTTACCTGGGCCAATCCACAAACAGAAGGCAGAGTTTTGAACAAAATCGATTTTCTGCGCAGTGTCTACTTGTGGGTTTTTCTCATTTACAGTCATCTCGTTCAGCTCGGTTCTTCTATCCTCTCAGTAGGGTTGTTTACAGCACATGCAATTTCTGGTTAGCTTCTTAGCTTAGCCCCCTTCATAGTGGAGATGGCATACACACATGTCGCGGTCAACTGATCCAGTCGTTTTAAGAGGCCACGCCTCCAGAAAGAATCGCTTCTCTATAGCCGAGAGTCCAGACCCTCGTACGAAGCAAAGCGAAGGACAAGGGTCTGGTTTTACCCAGGCTAGGTGTAACAGAACATGGCGAATAACGTTAACGTAACAGAATTCAAAAGCAGGTCCTTGTCCAAAATTTTCAAAAGTGGTCCAACATCAAAGTTGATGGCAAGAAATGAGATGGATAATTTCTCAACTGTGGGGGGAAATTTTATATTTCTGTGTATTATATGGATGAATCTGTTTCATATGGCTGGCATGGCACGGTTCAGGGACGACTGTGAAACAACCAACCTGTCAGTCATCTCCCTCAAAGGCTCCTAATGCGAGGAACTAGTTTGGTGAGGACTTTACCAACCCACAGCTACTATTTTCCCTCTAAAAAGATGGGTCCAGTTCAGCACAGAGTTCCACAACAATGGGCCTCATGCAAGTTGTATTCTTATCCTAAATTTCTCTTACTTTTGTTCATATGAAGGGTTCGTACGAACATGTCACGTCAGATTCAACAAACTCTTCTACTTTCAGGAAAAGGGTATAAATGAGCTGTGTAAATTCCACCTGTTCTATCCAGCTGCTCGTGCACGTGAGAGGAGATTAGCATAACTAACACCCCAAAAACACCATATAAGGCTATGTTTCCTGCCTCAGATACAAGGAAGGGTCCATTCATGAAAATGACAGTGAAAACTAAAAAGAAAAACCTTACGAGTTCAGAGATTGAAGTCCGTCTGTCAGAGATCCAGAAAAGAAAATCTGTCATTTTTAGCAGGTCAGCTGTGGAATAAAAAGAGCTGCTAAAAATATAAACAACTGTGTTAAATCATTGTCATTCATTCAGAAGCAGCAGCGCTGCGCCCTGCCCCCCCCCCCCCCCCCCCCCCCGCGCATGCTGCGCGGTCGCAGGTGGTCTCAGTTGCAGTTCTGAAATAAGCATTTTAAAATGTTTTCAAAATATGTCTGGCACTTTGGAGAGAATCCAGGACTCGCTGGAGGGATTATATATCCCCTCTGGCCTGGGAAAGTCTTGGTGTCCCCCAGGACGAGCTGGAAAGTATCGCTGGGGAGAGTGGGGTCTCCTGCTGCCCCTACGACCCGATCCCGACAGAAAACGGACGGACGGACAATTTATATTGTTAGTCTAAATTATTACATTTAAAACTATAACTCTAATTCAAGCAGAATAGCCTATTGTCAACATAATCATAGAGTGTGATTTATTTTCAACTCAAAATATCTTCAAACTAACGAAATATAAGGTTATTAATGAAGAAAACCCGTCTGGATAACAGCAGACTGACTGCTCGTAAAATGTACGACAGGTCTGGACCACTCGTGAATTTTGTTAGTATCTGAAAAAAATCTTAGAATACGAAAACATTGGTGAATGCCACAAATTCTCCTAAATCACTCGTACGCACAACTTAAGAACAAATCTGTGCGTACGAACGGTTTTTGCATGAGGCACAATGTCCCTGGGCAGTCTAAATCTGATAATAAAATATTATAAAGTGCCAGCAGGTTAATATGATCCCTAAAACATGCTCTCCCAATCCTTCCATCAGCGATGTCGTTCAGCGGCACCAAATCTGCCATAGTTTTTTACAATCACTCACAGTGTTAGGCTGATTTATGCCAACTTTAGGAATCAGCATACATGACTTGTTCTGAATAAATTTGCTGATCCAACACTTTTGTTCTAATTAAGAACAGAAGTACCCCTTGGACCAACGGTGTCCAGTCCTGGTCCTCGACCGCCACTGTCCGGCATGTTTTACTTGTTTCCCTGCTCTGACACACCTGATTCAGTGACTGAATTATCTCCTCACATCCTGCAGGTCTGGTAAGCACCCATCCATTCAAACCAGGTGTGTTGAAACAGAGAAACCTCTGACACAAGCATGCAGTCAGTGATGTGTTTTTAGATCGACACGTGACAAAAACATGGGAAACTTTCCAGTTTACATTGAACGGAATCATTTTTGAGGTGTGATGTAATGTATGAGGGTCAAAGTGGTTCAGTTTCATTGTTTGGGTTTAAGTTCCTCAGACTTGTAAGAAAATATGTTCAAATTCCCCTTGAGAACAGGAAACCTGATGGAGTCGTATCCTGGTGCGATCAGGTGAGTTTCGATGCTTTGTAGATTGATACAGTTAAGTGAAAAAGTTCACGTGGCGGTGTGAAGATTCTCATGAAGATCAAGAGTTGCATATATTTAAGCCCACTTTCATGCAACATGTTTTTAGATATATGTAAGTGTGCATATGCATCATTCATGCATGAGTCACCAGAGGTTGTTCTTTCTGTTTACATTCAGGAGCGTACACTGCAAAAAATGTCCAGCTAAACAAGTTTTAAAATCTTATATCCAGCCAAAAAGTCTTTTTGATCTTGTTTCAAGACTGATTTACTAAACATGAACTGATTGTGTAAGAATAATAATCTTGTTTTCAGAATGTGTAAGATTATTTGTCCTGTTAGTCTAAAAATTTGACTCAAATTAAGTAAAAGAATTCTGACAATGGAGTAAGAAAATTTTACTTGGTAAGATTCTTGGAATAAGAAAAAATTGCATCAAATCAAGTATTCCAAGAATCTTACCAAGTAAAATTTTCTTATTCCATTGCCAGAATTTTTTGACTTAATTTGAGTCAAATTTTCAGACTAAAAAGACAAATAATCTTACATATTCTGAAAACAAGATGATTATTCTTACACAGTCAGTTCTTGTTCAGTAAATCTGTCTCAAAACAAGATCAAAAAACTTTTTGGCTGATATAAGATTATAAAACTTGGTTAGGTGGACATTTTTTGCAGTGTAGTTAAATTTTAAGTCTTTCCCACCAACAGAATGCACTAATATAAGCATTATACAAGCTTAATAAACAGTATTTTGTGTTTGCGGACGAGCTAATCTTTTTCCTCTTCATGTTTTTTTGTACTAAAATGGGATTTAATGCATATAGGGGTTCACTATTCAAAAACTGATCACAATTATTTAATTGGAGCAATTACTTTTGTTTCCAAGCAGTTTTATTACAAATATTCCTGCTGACCCTGAATAAACCAAAAGCCTGCAGAGATAATCCTGCAGCCTCGCACAGAGGAGTGAAGAAGCTATGTTTAAAAAATCCACAGGGTGTGAGTGACTGTTGGAAAATTACCACTGACTTTCTTTTTCTTTTTTTTATTTTATCCTCGTTATAGTTGGTTCAGAGAGGAGTGTGATGATGTGTTACGGCCCTGCGTGTTAGGAAGAGGCCGTGATGGTGACTGGCAGGGCAGAGACACGGTTAAAGAAAGGGATGGGAGACCCAGAGACAAGAGCGACAAAAGTAATGCATGTCACATCGATGAGGCCACGCCAAAAGAAGTTGTGAACGAGGTCAGCTCCGCACTCCGTCTCCCAGTATCTCAGTTCAAAGCTCCAACTCTCAATTTGCACCACTGTCGTTTGTTTCTGCATCCTCTACTTTTTATCCTGTGTCTGCTCCTGGTTCTCTGCAACATACTCAGTTTTTCTTTGCAAACTATATATTTCACCACAAAGTTCACACTGTTTATCCTCTATGGGGTGAAGGAGGAATAAAATAAAACCTGCTTTAAATCTTCTTGTATTACGCAAATCATAATGGTACAGAGGAACATTGCATTTGCCAAATAATAACTTTGAGATTAGATGTCATAATTATGAAATCCTGATCTTATAATTATGAGGAAAGTTAAGGAGAGTCATAGCTGACCTACAGGAAAAGTGAGCAATGACTGAACTATCGGATCTGACATGCTTTAATTTCCTCTTAGGTATGAAATGATGGGAAAGAGACTCTGCCTCCACATCTAGAGGAGCCAGTTGAGGTAGTTTTGGTATCTGGTAAGAATGCACCATGGACGCCTCTCTAGGGAAGCTTTCCTTGCATGTCCAACTGGGAGGAGATCCATAAGAAGACCCAGGACACCCTGAGACTGTCTCATGTTTGGTCTGGGATCGCCTTGGAATCCTCCCAGAAGAGTGGGAGGTGGCTGGGGAACACTGGGCCTGGTCTGAACAATAAAGGATGGATGGGTTGGACTGATTTATGAGAACAGGAGGAAAGTTTGGGTTTTGTCTGATTTCTTATCTTTAACCAGAAATTTTGACATTGAATATTTTTCCTTATACAGCGGGTAAAATAAGTATTGAACACGTCACCATTTTTCTCAGTAAATATATTACTAGAGGTGCTAATGACATGAAATTTTCACCATCCATACATACAAAGAAATCAAACCATAAATGTCCAGAAATGAAGTTATTTGTAATAATGTGGAATGACACAGGGAAAAGGTAATGAACACATGAAGAAAGGGAGGTGTAAAAAGGCATGGAAAGCCCATCATCAGATGTTCTTGTGTGATACCTGGCCATCATTTGGGACAGAACCAGCTGATATTAACTTGCACTGACAAGGGGCAGACTTGCTTTCTAATTACTGAGAGAGTTCAGCTGGTGTCTTGGCTTTCCATGCCTTTTTACACCTCCCTTTCTTCATGTGTTCAATACTTTTCCCCTGTGCCATTCCACATTATTACAAATAACTTCATTTCTGGACATTTATGGTTTGATTTCTTTGTATGTATGGATCACTTGGGTTGTTACCRACATCTGGTGAAMATTTCATGTCATTAGCACCTCTAGTAATATATTTACTGAGAAAAATGGTGACATGTTCAATACTTATTTTACCCACTGTACAGTATATCTCAAATTTGCAGTATTCTGATCAGTTTTTGGTTTTGTTGTCAATAGCTTTGTACATATTTTATTAATTTTTATTCTCTCTCTTGTGTCTTAAATGACCCAGTCAGCCACAATATGTTAAATATTGTCAGTTCATTAGTGCTCGAGCTTCCTGTGTTCCAAACATACAGAAAAATTAAGACTAATTTCAGAGGGGAAAAATCCTGCCAGTTCAGTTTGAAGGATAACTTTATAATAAAAACCTAATGGAAGATTATCTTTTTATTTGATCTTGTGCAGACAATTACACCTCTCCCAGCTGTGATTTCGTCTGCGCCCCTCTTTAACTCAGCATGTCTCCATCATGATGCTCCTACAACAGATTGTGTCTCCCACAGGTGGTCTATTTGCCACAGGTGGTCTGTTTGCCACTGTTTATATGTGTTTTGTTTATTACAGGCATCTAATAACTTGCAGCGCGCTTTGTTGTAGCGTTTGTTTTAAAGTTGTGTTCTCTCATCCATCTGTGACGGAAGCAGATGTCGGCGTGTCGCTGCTGACTGACATGCTTTAAGGAGGGCGTGGCATTTTGAGTGGCAGCTGGCAGGACAAGAGGTAAGCAAATGACAACATTTAAACTGAGCTTAAAAATCTGCAGGGTGATGGGTTCAACCTGCCTTGACCGTCTCACTTTAGGCCAGCAGCATTGACTCGTTACACAACTCAACCACAAGGTTTTTTATTCCAGCTGCTAAACTGACAGGTCTGGAATTCAGGCCTGTTAAAGCATTTTGTACAATATTAAATGGAAAAAAATAGTGTTTCAAGCACTACAGAAATAGAAGCACTCCTGTCAGTTCTCACTGCACATTAAATGTGATGTACTTATTATATTATTTAATAATCATGAGGTTAAAACATTCACCACAGTATCCTTAAGTTTTAGCTAGAACATCCAAGTAGTTCACATGTGTTTATACAGGTCCAAAATACTGTATATTTGATAACAAACCTAATATAACTTTTTTTTAAATCATCGCATCAGTGATCCATCATCTACAAAAGAGGAGTAGTGCCACTGGAGAAAAAAAAGAATTCTGACTAAAACTCAGAAACATCTCAGTTTTGCTGCCACATTGGCCTTTTGTTTCATTTATTTAATAAATGAGATTTTTGGGTTTTTTTCATTCAAACTCCTTGTTGCCTGCCTGTATCTGGGTCCAAACCTCTTGTGACCCAGTGATTAGATGTCCCTCACCTAGTAGCACCTTGACTGTTTCCTTTCTGTTTCCATCAACAAGCTTCTGCAGAATTCTGACTCATTACTCAGGGCCATTTTTTGGCAGAAATGGTTGAGTTCATTTAAGGCCCTGTTTATGAATGAAGGATGTCTGGAAACATGATAGATAGATACAGTGGTTTGCAAAATTATTCATACCCCTTGAACTTTTCCATATTTTGTCACATTACAACC